CTTTGCTGATATGAAATGTAAATATTGCCCTACCCGATCTTGGATTCTTATAAAGCCCATCATTCAGACATAAACTTGAATAGAAGCCTTCATGGAAAGAACTTAAAAAATCAGGTAATAAGCCAAGAAGCAAAACAATATCAGCCAAGGCATTGAAAGCATTCCAATAAAAAATGATCGTTGCCAAGCCTTGGCTTCTTTTTCCTTTTCCAAATTCGCGGCATATTGAATACAAACAGCGTATATGCAATAAAGAGAAGTATAAAAAGAGGACGACGTTGTTGTATCCATTCTATCGACAATTGCGCATCATAAGTTAATGGATCCCAGCGCATATTTTAATTAATATGAATGTGAAAAGTGGATGGTAATTTCTATTGGAATGGAAGAAACGAATTGCGCCGATTTGCAAAACTTTGATAATTACAATGTACTGCTGGCCGCTTATATGAAAAGGATTTTTATGAATTTAAATATATGCAAATTATAATTTTAATTATAAATATCGCTACATCGATCATTTCATCTATTAATCGATAATACAAATGCTTGTAGTACATATTTTTTGAGGAATTATAAGCGTTGATAGATTAAAGAATAACAAATTTATCTTAAATAGACGAATTATTGATGGTAATTTTAAGTAACTAATCAATCTATGATACTTTTCAGTTGCGTTTGTTAAATATCATAAATTGGAAGTAATTCAATGATTCCAGGAGTTTCATGTATTAGCAATTCGTTTTGATGAAATTATTCTATCAAATTGTTTGAGTTAATAGCATATAATTTTTAAAGAATAGAAATTTTTTACTTAATTTGAAAAGATAATTTTAATTATAAATATCGTTACATCGATCATTTCATTTGAATCGATAATACAAATCGATTTAATTTAAATCGATTTAATCGATAACCGATAGTATTCTATACTTTTGCAATTTCATACTAATTCATTTTCTTTTGGTATATTTAAACAGATGCTTTAAGATTGAATACCTATCTGAATTTGGTTCAGCTGTCGATAAGTAAATGTTAAAATAAAATTAAAAAAAAAAAAGGAAAGAAATGAATCTATGAAAAAGACTGTCTGTTTTCAACAGCTAATAATAACTGCAGTTAAATATTAAATTATAATTTTGTTAATTATTTGGTTATAAATAAAACTATCTTTAAAGATAACGCATTTCTTATACTTTGTAAATTTTGTAATCTATTTTTAATTCTAATTTAATTCCTTTCTCTGATATATCTACGAAAGATAAATCAAAATTTTGTAAATGATCATTACGGTGTTTACTGTATTTTTGTTACAGTACGATTGCTATAATCATTGTGGTTCTTGCTAATATTTAAAACTATTGCATTCAAATGATTTTTAAAATAACTGTATTGTTATTAATAGCTACAATAAGTGATATTATTAAAGCTCAATTTTTCTGCAAAAATCGTCACGGAAAGCGTGTTGATTGGTTTGTTTGAATTCTTTTTATACACTAATTAATAAACCCATTTTACTAATTAATCAATTAGTATCCCAACAATTTGTTGTTAATTTACTTCTGTTGCTTAATATTACAGGAAATATTGATATGATTACCATAATAAATAATCTAATTTGCATTTAGGATTAATGTACAATCCTCGAATGGATTTGGTATAATTGTGAAGATTAAATTCTCAAAGTTAAAAATACAAACGTTAAAAAGGTTAAAGGTTATGATGTTTTAGGTTTGTCGGATATAAACAGCCCAAAAATAAATCACAGATATATCCAGGTGCAACATTTCATTATGCTGACCAAGATTCCACAGAGTGGGGTTCAGCAGAAAACTTGAAATCACCGAAGAATGCTATTGCTGTAACACTTAAACAGTATTACGGTAGCAAAAAAACAGGTCCTTTTTGATTTGTTAATTGCATACCAATTGAACCCTTTAAAAAAAAAAAAAAAAAACTTTAACAACTGAAATCATACAGTAATACTTGCTAATTTTAATAATTTGATGACAGTTATTCGTTACAGAAACCGTTTTATTTCTTTTACAATGATCAGAAACCGAATAAAGAAAGCAGAAGTCATGGAAATCATGCACATGCAAAAGGTGTCGCTATTTTTGGTGACACTTCTGGCTTTTGGCTCATTCATAGTGTGCCTAAATTTCCGTCACTCAAACATTATTTTTACGCTCAAAATGGTGAAATTTATGGGCAATCATTTATGTGTGTCACATTGAAAACGACATCTATCGAAATATTTGGTAAGCAATTATTTTAAAAGATTTAAATAAAAATTGGAAAAGTATTGAATTTTAAAAAATTTTTTTTTATTTTAAGAAATTTAAGCAAAGATTGTTACCTTAATTTTTTTCATTTTTTTTTGAATTATTTTAAGAAATTCAATTAATGATTGGAAAAGTATTTAATTTCAAAGAATTTAGCAGAAGCGATGAAATATATTTATCCAGCAGTATACGGTATGAATGTGCCTAAAACTTTTTTGGCTCGTTTTCCATTCTTGAATGATTTGAAGCAATTGAAAAAGAAAAATATTGCTAATACATCGTTGATGAAGAATTTCAAGTCCAATGATGGCATGATTTTCTATAATTTCGCAAAAAGTGATAAATATAAGAAAGGTGACGAAGTTTTTGTAATTAATTTTCCAAATAATTTTGACAATAAAATATAAATTTTATTAAAGGTAAGAGGAATAAATCATTGATAATAAATGTTGAAATTTTTAAATTTTATAAGATTAAAAAATTTGGGAAGGAAAAAGATAGATGAGAAAATTTCAGATGGATAATGGATAGATGAGAAATCTTTTCTGTACTTGAACTATTTAGAATAATTAATTGTCAATTAAAAATGAGCTAATTAAGATCTTTATTCGGATATGATAGCAAGACAAATGAAAGTATCACTTTTCACTGAAACATGGATGAACGGTGGTGCGAAAGATTTAGATTCGGATTGTTCAACTGCATATAAAGTAAGTGAACTCGATAATTACATTTTCATTTAAATTTTAAAAATTAAATTTCATCTAACCTTTGAATTTACCAATGGAATTCATAATTTAACATTTCGACTTCCACTAGGGTTCTGCAACATTTTTCGTTAAAGAAGATGTCAAAGTGACTTTCAACATGTCGTTTCTTTTTTTTTTTTTTTTTTTTGTCAACGTGTCGCGTCGTGAAAATGAAAAAATGGTGGAAAGATTGAGAGTGGAAAATCAAAAAAAAAACATTCCAATGTCAACCTTTATTAATTCTCATCATTATTATCTCAGGTAATGAATGTTATGGAATTGAATGTCGCAGGTAACAAATTTGCCAATAAAAATGATCATTCAAAGTGGGCTATTGCTGAAAACGAAACGAAACCACTTGTATGTGTTGGTGACATTAATAGACAGGTAAATGGATTTTGGATAAGTTTTAAACTATCTTTACAATTTTTATCTATCAATAAGATCTGATCATGAATTCTAATTTTAAATTTTAAAAAAATTTTTCTGAAGAGAATAACAATGACATTAATAAGCTAATAATGCTAATAATGATAATAATACTAATGAACAATTTATAACTGAAAGAAATATTATTCAAATTAGGAATCAATATAGTATAAGTTGAAAAAGAAAAACTTAAATGCTCATCTTATAGGAATCACAAAAAAACGTGGAGGTGGAGCGGTATGTTTCGAGAGTGTGAATATTTGGAAATTATATAAAGAATCAATTGTTGAAATAGAAAATTGTAAAGTTTAAATGATCAAAATGAGAAGAATTAATTATAAATTTTATTATTTCTTTAAAATGTAATAATCATATAAAAATGAAAGATTTTAAAATAACAACG